TTTGCTAACACATAATTCTTTAAAATGGTTCCACTGAAAAGAGAGCCAGGGTGATAGGGACAGGCCTTGCACTTCCAAATTTGCTCATTTCTATTTTGTGTGCATTCTACTCACAGTACCCATGTATTTACTGCTTTTGTTTTCAAAAAGATAATTTTGTTAAATACAAAGGTAAGTAAGCTATACAGGAGAGCTTAGCAGCTTCAGGCTTAAAGGCTGTTTTATTAGAGTCACTGCTGAAGTCCTAATGCAAACTTTTCCTATAGTACGAGGCAAGACATAGCCTAGGTTTTGCAGCCCATGAGGTTTCTGAAAAAGGAAAGGAAAAAGGGAAATCTGAATTTTCAAAGCTACAGACAAGATTTGCTGTTTGAATCAGAAATATCATGTCTACTTCCTAGAATGCTGAGGATTAAAGTGAACACATCAAAGAGCATTTAGTAATTGAGGAATGGCAAGAGACAGGGTACAGAAGTATCTATGCTGTGAGGGTTTGGAATTTATCCTGAGGGGAAAAGAAAACCCATTTGAGAGTTTCCTGCAGGGGAATAACAAGATCAGATTTGCATTTCAGAAAGAACTTTCTGGAGAGAGGAAAAATTGGAACTCCTTGGCTCAGAGGCAAGGAGACCAGGTGGGAGGCCGGCCGAGACACCTGAACCACAATGATGGCAGGGGGTCAAACAGACTTGTTCAGGAGTCCGGATCCATAGGGTGTGGATGATTCCTTGTGGGGGATGAGAGAGAAAGGAGGTAATCAAGTGACAGTGTCATGAAGACTGCTACCAGACAGCCCAGTTCTAGCTCCTTCCAGGCATCTGCGTGACTCTTTTTAAGTTACCGCTGGCCAGGTAACTTGTTCAGGCCAGTAAAAAGTGAGATGATTTCCAGATGAAAGCTTTAAAATTCACCACATCCCAGTAACCAAGTGAAAGATGGTGGCTCTGTCAGCCTGGATCCCAGGGTAAAAGGGATCTTAAGCAAAGGTTCCCTGCCCCTTCCCCAAGCCACGCTGAACATGAATCTGTGTCAACAGGTAAGCAAACCTCTACTTCCTAGCTCATTGAGATTCAGGGGTTTCTACTACAGCATAACTTAACCTGTCCTGACTGGAGCTGTAAGAAATGCTCATCCTAGACGTGTGTCCAGATAAGAACAATACTGAGAAATATGCACAAACGATAAGTCTGTAAATCTGTCTTCATAGGCAGATGTCTTCATAGGTGAGGCAGCTACAGGTACAAGATTACATTAAAAACAGCGAGCTTTAACTATTTCCCAGCCCAAAAAAACAGGTGCATTTTTTTAAAGGAAAAAATTTAAATATGTACTTGGGAAATTATATTTCTTATGATCTAATAATTGATACTATGAGATGTATGTACTTTTTTCTTATTTCAACAGTTTCAAGATCGGGTAGTGTCCATGTGCCTATCCCTTTTTAGCACACATGGAAAAAGCAAAGAAATATGGTTAATAAAAGACACAAAGCAAAGGAGAGCCCTTTTCCTTCTTCTATATTTTAACCTTTACAATCATCTCCTGTGTCTAAAATGTAAATACCACTACATGCACCACTAATAATGATAATGATTGCTAACAACGGCAGAATTGACTATGTGCCAGGCAATACTTGGAAGTCTTCACTACACCAGCTTATTTAACTCTCATAACTCAGCATGGACTAATCAAGGACTATTTCTAAAGCCTATGCCTCTCATGATCACTACACCTCACTTCCTCTTTAAGGTAACTCAGATAAACTTCTTTAATCATGGGCATTAAGAAAATGAGTTTTCTTAATGGAATAGAGAGTGGGGTGGCGGGGAGATCTTTTAAAAGATGGGAAGGAAAGAAGAAAACATAAATAGGCCTGGAAAGTGAGCAGCTGTGGGCAGTCAGAGGGGGATGGGGATAGAAAGGGTGGAGGTAGAATGAAGTTCTAGAGAAGAAAAAAGAAAGTCAGACTAAAACAAAAATCAGCCTAAACTAAGCTTTCTTTTCACCCACATACCCTGGGTGAATTTAGTAAACTGTTTTGGTTGAAAGAGCTAATAAGCAGATTGTTAAGAAGAAAAAAATAAAATGTAACATACTCTGTTCACTGGCTCTACAAGCCACCCTACTTAATAGCTATGAATACGAATATTAGTGTGACACATCTTATCAGCCCATCCTGCTGTCAAAACGCTGCTCCCACTTGCTAGGTAAGTGACCCCGAACAAGTCCCTGGAAGGCTAAGCCTCTGTTTCTTCCTCAGTAAAATTATGCTAATAATGAGACCATTTTCCTTTTTTTTTCCCTCTTTGCTCTTGACCCCACAGCACCAACTTGAGTTGCCTCTTGTAAAGTGCAGTTTCAACTATATAATTACCTTATTTCCAAGCACAAAGTAAAACTTCTGATTCACATATTTAATATGTTAAAAACATTTTAAAAAAACTGTCTCACTTATTTTTAATGATTTTATTCACTGATTTTAGAGAGAGGAGGGGAAGAGGGTGCTGGAGCGAGAATCAAGCAGATTCCCTGCTGAGTACGGAACAGGACATGGAGCTCGGGGCCAGGACCCTGAGATTAGGACCTGAGCCAAAACCAAAAACTGAACACTTAACTGAATGAGCCACCCAGGCTCTCCAAAACTGTCTTATTTTTAATTAAACATATATAATGAGTCCTTACTATATACCCAGGGCTACAGCAGCTATTAAATATACAATGGACTATGGTGAGTGCTGCGAAGTGTGTAAACTTGGCGATTCACAGACCTGTACCCCTGGGGATAAAAATACATTATATGTTTATATAAAAAAAAAATTAAAAAAAAATATACAATGAAGAAACAGAGCCATGGGTTGAGACCCTATCATCAAACCATAGTGCAGAGTTCTACTTTATCATTTATTTAGTACCCAGGTGACCCTGGGTAATAACAATGGTAATGGTGACCAAAAAGAACACACGTTTGTTAAGCCAGGCTCTATTGCAGGTATTTATCTTATGTAATTGTCTCAATGATCCTATGAAGTAGGTACCATTTCTCTTCCCATTTTGCAAATAAGGAGCTGACCACAGAGAGGACAAGCAACCTGACCAAGATCAATAGATTCGATGCAGACAGTAGGACTCCAGAGCACTAGTCCTATGCTCCAAAGTGTTGAACAAGTCTACACTATATGCATAAATACATTCTGCAGAGCTGGTTTAAAGATTAGAAATAATATCTGGAAAGAGCTTAGGGTAGTAAGCACACAGTAAGTGAACAAGAAAAGGCACAAGGATCAAGCTATACTGGAGAACAAAGCAAATATTCAGGTTCCTTAGTCCCAACCCTCTTCCAAAGTCTTAGAAAACTTGATCTATTTTACCCAAGGTTGGATCAAAGTTCATGTTTATACTTAATACTATAAGTTGTTGTAAAACGGAAAAATTTAAGGCAAAAAACTACCAAACCACCATAAACACCAAAACTTCTCTCTACCTAAAAAGACAGTTACCTATTTCCATGCCTCCATAAGCCTCATTCTAGTCGTTGTTGCTGTTGATTAATATCAACATGAGACTTGCAAAAGGCATTTAAAAGAAAGAGAAAAATTAAAAATTCTTAATTTCATCACAAAAATGGTAGGTTGGTAGAATTACTATTATTTTTTTTTTAGATAAACTGCTAGTTTATTCAAATTGTTTATCCTGGTGGTTACAGCTTGTTAAAGTTATATATTGGTTTGAAAGCAATTCATGGTGATAAAAATTATTCAAACTAATGAATAAGGAGATATCTGGGCTTTAAAAGGATACCACACTCCTAAAAATACCAATCTTTACCTTTTAGGAATCAATGGTTGGAATTATTCTTAATACAAAACAAAACCAGAAAGTTTCTAAAGACTAACAATATTTTGAAAACAATACAATGTATCAGAATCACTAACATAATATACCTATTATGGAATGTTTATACACCTATATATGTATATATACATATATATACCTATACCTATGGTTTTGAGTGCTACATCTCTTCCATATCAGTTTTATTTAAGTCAAGCTGAAGGGCTGAGTTCCTGGAAATCGCTATATGAACTCTTTGTAGCTTACAATCATTGACTCTTGGGAACTTAGTAATTTAGTTCAATGCCTTCACCTTAGAAAAGAGGAAAGCAAGGACACATAGGGTTAATGATGTGGTCCAAAGTCAAGAAGTTTGTAAAGACCTCATTCCTTTCTTCCAGGCAGATGGTCTCTTCACTAGCAGTATTTCTACTCCTCAATCAGTTGCAATGAGCTTGAGAAAACTAAATAAATAAATAATACAAGGCAAAAAAGAGTGTAGAAGGTGTGTATAAAGAAAAATATATGCCTACTAAGCAAAAGATTATCTGTCCTGTTTTGTTTTATTCCCTACCTAATGATTTCGAATTGCAGTTCCTCCAAAGAAAAATAAACAGGAGGATTCCCCCTTTTGCACTGTATTAAAGCAAATTATTTTGTGAAGAACAGGCCTATTAAAATTTTAGGAGACTATAATATGGAGTCTGAAGCTACCCCCTCCACTGTTTACCCAAACACTTCCTTCAGCCCCATGTCGTTAAAAACTTGAGTTAAAACCTTGGATGCATTTTTGCAGGCGAGAGAGAGAGCTAGGAATGTGAAGCCTTCACTCCCTGACTGTTGCCAAAGCTGCTACAAAAATAAGATGACAAATGTTTAAAACGGACATTTTCATCCATCTCCCCTCGAAGTTAAAAGGGCTCTTCATTTTTAGTCACACTCATATGCCAAAAAAGAGTAGTTCTTTCTCTACCAGGTCTGAGGCCCCAACTTAAGATTTGTTTTATTTGTATGAGATTTCTCAGCGTGCGACACAAAGTGATTCTAACTCCTGTTGTCAATGTCACTTCTCTGCTGGCATTTATCTGATGGAGCGCCCTCCCAGGGCCGTCACAAGACCGCTGGGAACAGTCTTGGAAAGGGATGGGGGACAGCGGGACACCACTCACCGAGAACACTGCATTCTGAAGCCCAAAAGGTATGGGGGTCAGTCTGGCCAGCGCCACCACTTTCAGGCCGCTTCCTCCCTCCACGACGCGAATAACGGCGCTCAGTTTCTCGCTGCTCTGGATCCTGGCGGCCACCCAGGCAGTGAGCAGCCGCTTGCAGACCACATGGGCGATGAAGGTGCCGATGAGGACGCCCACCACCATCAGTCCCATGCCCAGCACGAAGCCGTACAGGTAGCCGGCGGCCACGTTGAGCACGATGTAGCCCCAACCGCAGGGGAACGAAACCACGATGAAGCCCACGACGAAGAGCAGGACTCCCAGCAGCGAGTCGAGGCTCTCCACCCAGAGCAGGAGGTGCTGTAGGTAGCGGCGGACCAGGGCCAGGGAAGCGAAGCACAGCGCGGCCAGCACACACACCAGCACGAGGCTCCGGCACCAACAGGTGCTGCCGAGGCAGCAGCAGCGCCAGTTTCTCACCTCCGCCACGCCGACCACCACGCCGCCGCTGCCGCCGCTCCCGGGGCAGCCCGCCAAGGCCCCGCCCGGCGCCGGCAGCTCCGAGGCCGCTGGCGGACCGTGGCGCTCCAGATAGGCGCCGAGCAGGGCGCCCGAGGCAGCAGCCGCCGCCGCCGCCGCGCTCGCCTCGCCTCCGCGGGGGAGACGATCGGCGGAGTCGTCCCCGCCCGCTGCCCGCGGCAGGGCCCAGCGGGCCGGGGGCTCGGTTCGGCCCTGGAGGGCGGCGTGCTGCAGGAGCCGGGGGAGTGCCTGGAGCAGGCTCCCGCCAGGACTCCACATGCCTCGGCCGGCGCGGGCCCTCAGCCAGCCAGCCCCTCCGCCGCGGCGCCTATCAGGCAGCGGCCCTTCATGGCGCCCGGTACGCCCTGCCTCGACTCCCTGCGTCTGCTCGGGGAGCAGGAGAGGGCCCGGGGTAAGGGCGAGGACTCAGAGACGAAGGGACGGGTCCGACGGAGAGTGAGAAAACTCTGGACCCAGCACCGGCCGGGCCCGCCCCTTTTCGGCCAGAGGGGTGGGGGCCTCGGCGCGGGGGCGGGGCCTAGCGTGAGCGGCATTCTGGCCCCGCCCCTCCGACGCACAGTCGGGCCAGTGGCAGGGATGGTGAGGAGGGGGCCGGTGGCGACCGCGGGGGCGGTCTCGCGCTGGGGCTGCTGAGAGGAGTTGCTGGGAGAAGAGAAGGATCCGAGGGGACGCAGGTACGGGAGAGGGAAAGAGGTGTCAGCGAAGTAGAGAGTTCGGTGAGGGGCTGGGGCCAGGCGCGCTCCCGACCTTTCCTGGCGGGCGCGCGCTTGCCTGCGTGTCAGGGCGCGCGCTCTCCCGCCCCTCAACCTCGGACCCAGTCCCAGTCCGCCAAGCTGCTTGGATCCTTGCCCATTGGTCGTTTCTGCAGTAACCTCTGATTCAAGCGAACAGCTTGTGGGACGCTCACATCCACTGCTCTTTAGGCGACACTGGAGGAAGAAGAGTTCTTGATTTGCTCTGAGGAGAATTTGCTCATTTTTACCTCCCCAGTCCCCATGGGGGTATCAGATCCTTCTGGAGATGGAGTAATTAGGTAGAAAGGCCCACCCTTGACAGAATGCCCTTTCTGACCCAGAGGTCCTTTACCAAGTACTAGACACTTGGACTAGGGACTTCTCAAACAGATTCATGGAAAGGCTGTCAAAAGGCTCCCCAAACTCTTGCTGGTTTCTTATCCACCTTTCGTCTTTTTAGTTTAATGTTACCCGGGTCCTCTTTACTTCTTTTTTAGGGTTGGTTAGACCATCTCATCCACACCTATAACTTTGATCCCACCATATTTCCCTTGTTCTGATGACCCCCAAGCCCGTCCTTCCTTTGTCCAGCCTGTGGACACATGCGGGTGCAGTTCCTGTAGGCGCCTTAAACTTAGCATGGCTTGCTCCATAGCAACTTGGGCTCCAGTGCAAAACGTTTAGTGTGGGAGTGATCAAGTCATTAAACTCTGAATCTCAGGGTTTGCGTTTAAATCGCAAAATGAAGATAAGAACAACTTGACATAAACTTGTGAGGATTAAATAAGATACAACTGACCCTTGAACAACAGTGGTTTGAACTGTGAGTCCACTTACACTCAGATTTTTTTCAATATACTACAGTACTGTAAATTAGTTTTCTCTTCCTTATGATGTGCTTAATAACCTCTTTTCTCTAGCTTATTTTATTATCGGTATATACTGCGTAATACATATACAAAGTGTGTTAACCAACAAATCTTCATTGGTAAGGCTTCCAGTCAGCAGTAGGCTGTTAGTAGTTCATTTGGGGGGCAGTCAAAAGGTATATAGGGATTTTTGACTGTATAGGGATCAGATCCCCTCATTTTTCAAGGGTCAGCTGTAATAAAGTAAGATGCTTGTCCGTATGCCTGGAATCAGTGTTCAACTATGGGGAGGTATCTATAATTAAAAGTATTGTTGGGTCCGTTATCAAAGGAACGAGACTGAGACAAAGTTATGCAAAGTTTTATTCTATGCCAAGCATTAGAAGTTAGACTGACCGGCCAGGGAAACGAGGCTGAGACAAAGTGGAAGTTAAGTAAAGCTTTATTCTGTGCCAAGCATTAGAAGTCAGACTGACCGACCAGGGCCGCCTCCGAAGAGAGCGACGCCCCTTGGTTTTACAGGCTAGTTTTTATAGGGCACAATCGCAGACATCTACATATGTGGCTTTGGCTGATTGGATGTCTCCTACCTGTGTGTTTTAGTAACGGTTACCTGGAACGGATACTAGTAACTGTTGAGGCATTTATTAAACAACAAAATGGCTTTGTTTTAGGTATAGTTACCTGGAACCGATATAAACAAAATGGCCTTGTTTTAGGTGTGTGTTTTAGTAACAGTTACCTGGAACTGATATCAATAACTGTCGAGACATTTATTAAACAACAAAATGTCTACCTAGGCAACATGGAGTCACTATGGCTAAGTAGGCCCAGGCAGGCCCTAGGGGGTTAACATGTTTTAACGTGGAATCGACCCCAACAGTATCTTCCCCACAAGACCTGCTCTTCCTTTTGAGTTTCTTATTTCAGTGGATGACCTTCTACCACTTGCCTGCACGATAACTGACCAGGACACTTTGGGTTCTTACTAATCTGGTTCCTGCTGCTTCATGCCATTCCTCTCAATCCACCTTGGTTTGGCTGAGTCAGGAAAAGTACCTCAGTGATGTCAGACACATGCTTCTTCCTTCATCTTTTCCAACTGCTGTGGCCCACGTGGAGGAGCATCCTCATTTAGCTGAAGTTTTACTTCCTTTCTAGAAATTTCCGAAACTACCTTCCCATCAGCACCACACTCAGTTTGATGTTTCCTTTCTATTTCTCTCATGTTTGCTACATAATTATTATTACATTTGTCCACTGTGTTGAAATTTTTAGTCTACATCACTTTCTCTGTCTGTAGACTGAATTTCTTCAAGGTAGGCACATTACTTAAACACTGAGGAGTAAGCACTTTATTTATTTATTTATTTTTTAAGATTTTATTTATTTATTTGACAGACAGAGATCACAAGTAGGCAGAGGGGCAGGCAGAGAGAGAGGAAGTGAACTAGGCTCCCTGCTGAGCAGAGAGCCTGATGCGGGGCTTGATCCCAGGACCCTGAGATCATGATCTGAGCCAAAGGCAGAGGCTTAACCCACTGAGCCACCCAGGTGCCCCCTGGGTTTCTTATTTGGTATAATGACTCAATTATGGGACCACTGACCAAGAGAAAGAATACAGAAAGTTTCTGGGAAAGATAAAGGATTATTACTTGAGATTTGAAATAGCTATGATATAATCCAATTGTGGCATTCCAGTAGGTAGTTGAAAATATGGATAAGGAGTGACAATGGGACATCTCTTAGAAATTTGGATATTGGTGTATAGGCAGCAGTTAAAGCCATGGTTATGGGTGAGTGAATGGTGGTGAGTATATCAAATACTTTCTGTTCTTTATCAGATACAAGTAGGATTGCATTTCCTGGCTTCCTTGTAGTTGGGATGAGCCTCCTGACACATTCTGTCATGAATTGTGAGCATAGCATTTAATTGCTGATGCAAGACCTTCCAGAACTCTTTTTGCTCTTTGCCATGGCAATCAACAATGTTCCACAGAATATATGCTCTGTAATTCTTGGTCTTAGAGAGAGGATGATGCAGAAAAGAATCCCATTCACCTCATGATGGATATTTAAAGCGAATGAGAAATCAACACTGGTTGTTTTAGGCAACTGAGATTTGAGGGGTTTGTTTGTTACCAGAACAGATCTTTGTTATTTCTGACTGATGGAAATGAGAAGAATCAAATCTTGAGAACATTAATGTGTTCATTAGACAATTTTGCATGTAAGAAAGACCCAGAGACCACCTCCATTAAAAGAGTGAAAGCAAAAGTGTTTATATGGATATATGAGTAGTTATTAGGAACCAAGGCCCCTCTAGAAACTGTCCTCTTATTTCTTTCCCGTTGGATCTCCATGTTTTTCTCTACCTCTTTGGTCTGTCCTCACACTACTGACTACTAATTAATTCTCTTCTCATACTTTCATCCACATTTCAGAGGATCACAGTCCAGTTGCAAGACCCCTTATCTCTAAGCCTCATCATTGGCTGCCAGCCAGTCTGTAGTCATGCTGCTTGTGTGTCAGGCACCCATCCTGACACAAACAGTACTGCCCTACACACAATACCACCCAGTTCTCTTGAACATGGGAGCTCTGGTCAGGGCAATGCAGACTATAACAAGACATTTCCATTCCTGCCTGCTACAATTTATTTTTCACAGAATCGCTGAAGCTATGTTTTACAAATGGAAATTAGGTATGTCTTAACTTACAAACACTCCAACCTGCCACCCCTAGCCTAAAACCTTTCTGTTGTGTTAGCAAAAACACCCCAGCTCCTTGCCAAGTCTACAAAGCCCTTTACGATCTATCTTCTGCCAACCAGTCCTACCTCATCTCCTATCACCCTCCCTCTGGCCACACTGGCCTCCTGTCTCTCCCTTGGATAAGCCAAACTGGTTTCTACCTCAGGATGTCTGCACTCTGCCCTTGCTAATCTCCCTTGTCTGAATGCGCTTCCCTTAGCTTTTAGAAAGTTTATTTTTTCCTTCTTTCCTTATTAATTTCAAATTTTACTGTCATCTCAGAGATAGAGTCTACACTGAAGTTATGGTACTCCTTTTCTTAATTTGTATCTACAATCTGAAATTTTTATAGTTATTGCTTTACTGTCTTCCCTAAGGAGACCAAAAGCACCATGAAAATGGTCGTCTTTTCTGTCTTAGGATCCTCTGTAGTTCCTAAGTAGTTCCTAGCACATTAAATTTTTTAAGTGAATAAAGGGGGTGGTAGATAGTGTGCTCATACTGGTTGTTTTCTGCTAGTCCTCCGTCTGGGTTCATTCTCTGCTTTTCCCTGCCCTGCTGTGTGTCCCAGGAGGCTGATCTTTAGAGTTTGCATTTCCCAGCCTCCTCCATCCTCTGGCTTTCCAGTTAGGTTTGGCCAATGAAAAGCAGCAGAAGATGACAGAGGATAGTAGGAGTAAGAAGTAGGGCATTTACCTCTGCCCAACCCAGCTTCACTGTGGTTTTGGCAGTAAACTGAAGTCTTCCATGAGCAAAGTTCCTTTATCGAGTTTCCAGGTCCATCCTGGCTCTGGTAATGGTTTCCTGATGCTTCACGACCCTTATAATCCTCCCTTGATTAGACTCTTTACTATGGCTTCTGTTGCCCACTGGGACCCTGACTGATAGCTGAAAGGGTCAAAGGCTGATCAGTTCAGTACAGCTAACACCTGAATTAACACAGCTTAGCCAAGGCTGCACAGAGAAAGTGATGGAACCAGGTTTTAAAATCAAAGTTCAGGGGGCGCCTGGGTGGCTCAGTGTGTTGGGCCTCTGCCTTCGGCTCAGGTCATGATCTCGGGGTCCTGGGATTGAGCCCTGCATCCGTTTTTCTGCTCAGCGGGGAGCCT